TGTCTTTTCAGTCTTGCGTCTTTGGTATGCAGTGGAACTTTGGACTCTCTTCTTCTTAGGTTTCTAACAAACCACGGCCCCACGAACCAGAACCTTTAACTTCTGGGGAGAGCTCAATAAGCTCTCGCAGAGGGACTACAAAGAGGTCGTCGCTAAGTCGATTGACTGGAAATGGGACCATGGATTTGGCTACACAGCGACTCCTTTTTAAAGAGGTTGATCCCAAAGGCCGGCCTCCACCCGCTGATTATGAGGCGAATGCTCCAGCGGACGGTGGGTGGGCTGCAGTGACGAGTGTGGCTGGTCAGGGACACAAAATTTCGGTAGGACTGTTTTTAGCTCTTGGGCTAATTTGTTTACATCTATCCCGGCTCACCCTTTCATTAGTGTATCCCTCAGATAACCAAGTTTCCTATGTCAACGACGATCAAGAACATGAGCGTCATTCTTCCATTTTTATTGTCATTTCTCTTTTTATGCATTCTAACGAGTTTTCTGATCCCTTTATTGATACAGTTTTGGATCATTTTTGCTCTTTTGACCGGTGAGTTAATGCGTTTTAGTTGTTATCTCATTGTATTTGTCTTTGTGTCGATCCAGAACCTTTTTGAATTCTCCAAATTTAATCTTGTTTTGGTGCTTTAAAGAATCTGCTGTGAATTTATGTTTTTGCTTTCACAACCATAATTTTCCTACTCCTTAGAGAGTAAAAATTCTACCAACCTGTTCATTTCATACTGATTCATGAATAGATTGATATCATTATTTTGGTGTGTGAGTTGATGCGTTTTGGTTTTTTTGGAAAAAGTGTTTCCATTGAATTTGATCGTTTTGTGGAGTTTATAAATGTGGTTATATGTATTGCGTTCGAGGCCGTTTTGGCAGTGACTCACGTCTTGGCTCGGACTATTAGACGGCCCAGCCATTGATTCATTGACGAGCACACGTGTTTTTGTCCACACGTTTGTGGGCAGTCTTATCATGCCGAGTTTGTAGAATGGTGTCTGTAACGGTACTATTTCGACCACTTTCATAACCATAGTTTTGGCATGGCAATGGGGAATAGCACTTAAAGCAGCCCTTTTATCATGCTTAGCATTGTGCTGACACTTCTTCTCTCTACGCTTGATTGGTTTAGTTTCTGGGAAAAGCTAGAGTTATCGTGATCTATATATTCTATGCATTCACCTCTGAGCAAATGTATTCTATACCGAAAGGCTGAGGGTGTCAATCACTCGTTCGGTCCTTTTATTTGAAATGCTTCAAGTAAAAGTCAGAGAATGGTTGTTTTTTTTACTAAATATGCGCCATGCTATCCCCTTAATGAGGTGAGTACGAGCTCTTTTAGAGTGTCCTTTGTATCCCTCTAAGTAAAGCGCTTATTTGTGCATATTTTGATTAGTGTTTCTCTGTTATTCGAGTTGAGTCGTTTGGAGTTGTGATACCTTTTTTCAGACAACTTTTTCCTATTTGGGAGCTATCTTCACAAATAGCGCGATCATTTTAGACTGGAATATTATTTACTTTCTTTCTTCTTTTTGTCGCACTTTTGCTTAACCATAAGTTTCCGGAAAGAGTTCAACCACTCTCGTTTTCAACACATATTGATGACTTAGGTGATCCATGTTGTAGTTCTATGCCCTAGAGGTGGTTATGAAAATTATTCGATTAAATACTGCTCCCTAGAGCAGTCATTGTCGTTATAGTCACCAGCAGTAGCACTGGTAAATATTTTCAAACAAAACCTAAGAACTTCATAAGCGTATTTTTTGTTTTGACTCAGCTTCCCTACAATTAATGGCCATGGTAACTATTCTCAGTTCAAGTTATCCTCAATTTCTCTTCATTTTAATACTTTTTCATCTCCTCTATCGTCTGACTGAGGCCATCATTATCAATACCATTTTGGCACTTCAATGTTGCTTCCTTTTCTGGTGCATAAGGTCAGATGTCTACTCCATGAGGAATAAATGCAAACCCACACATTTTTGCATCCAAGACGATGTTTATGATTTACACTTTCATCGTTTGTATAAGGGGAAGCATTAACCGGGGCTTTCTACTGTAGCATTAAAACGATAACCTCTTCAATGCATTTCTTTTTAGAGATGATTTGCTAAAAGACGCTCTTTCTTCATTTATACTACACTCCAAAG